CACAACTTTCTTGCAGGGCAGCCTGCACGAGGAGATCTGGCTGCGCCGCCCTCCTGGCTTCACTGGGTCGTTTCCTCCTGGTACCCAGTGGAGCCTCCGGCCGCCGGTCTACGGTCTCCGTCAGGCGCCACGTGAGTGGCACGACACACTGAGGACTACTCTTGCGGCACTTGGGTTCACGCCTTCTACTGCTGACCCGTCGCTGTTTCTGCGCACCGACACTTCGCTGCCGCCGTTCTACATCCTCGTGTACGTCGACGACTTGGTCTTTGCCACTGCTGATACTGAGGCTCTCGCCCACGTGAAGTCGGGGCTGCAGAAGAGACACACGTGCACAGACCTGGGTGAATTGCGTAGCTACCTTGGCTTGCAGATCACCCGGGACAGAGCACGCCGCACCATCACACTGACTCAGTCACACATGGTGCAGCAGGTCCTTCAGCGCTTCGGCTTCACCTGGTCCTCAGCACAGACCACTCCTCTGGCTATAGGTCACTCGCTCTCAGCTCTGCCTTCGGATGAGTCCGTAGAGCCGAGTGGTCCTTACCCAGAGCTAGTTGGTTGCCTCATGTACCTGATGACTTGCACTCGTCCTGACCTAGCATACCCTCTTGGCCTTTTGGCCTGCTATGTGGCTCCTGCCAGGCACCGAAAGGTGCATTGGGATGCTGCAAAGAGGGTATTGCGCTACTTGTGCAGTACATCGGGCATGGGGCTCGTGCTTGGAGGAGGGAGCCCAGTTGTTCTCACTGGGCACTCAGACGCTTCTTGGGTTGACGACCAGGCTACTCAGCGGTCGTCACAGGGTTACACCTTCAGCCTTGGCTCTGGCTCAGTTTCCTGGCGTTCTACACGCTCGTCTTCAGTTCTCAGCTCCAGTTGTGAGGCTGAGATCTACGCCACAGCCATGGCTGCACAGGAGTTACGCTGGCTCACCTACCTGCTGAACGACTTGGGAGAGCGGCCTCGTTCTCCTCCAGTGCTGTACGTCGACAACAAGGCTGCCATTGCCTTGTGTGAGGAGCACAGACTGGAGCACAGGACGAAGCACATCGCTCTACGTTACTTTCTGGCTCGAGAGTTGCAGCAGCGTAGTCAGCTTCGTCTGCGTTACGTGGCCACTCAGGCCAACACTGCTGATATATTCACCAAGGCACTTCAGTCTGGTGATCATCAGCGTTTCTGCACTTTGCTAGGGCTTGTGCCCACTTTTCCTCACTTGTTGTAGACTCTGGCTGTACTGTGATCTATATATATATACCTGCATGCTTACTAGATATAGATCACTGTGATGTTTGTGCTACATATATGCCTCTACATGTGAACTGGCCTTGTGGTCCTTTGCTTGTGCTCAGAGTGTATGGTGACGTTGTGATCCACCCTGAGCTTGCTTTCCCTTTCTTGACTGGTCCTGTGACCCCTTGTTCTCCCCCACTTAGCCTATGGGGGTGTGTCAAACATTATATATGTTTCTGTTGTGTAGGCTATAGTGGGTTAGCCTTCAGGGGGTACACATCTTTAGGGTTTCCTACTTGTACTCCAACATCTTTCTAGTTCAACACTTCTTGTTTCTGACATTCTTCCCCTATCCCCTCCCCCTCCCTCCCCCCTCCGCCTCCCCCTCCCCTCCCCCCCACGCCCCATCGCCCCACTCCTCCACCCAGGGAGGGTGCCACCCTGGCTGCAGCATGCTGCCCAGTCCGCCATTTGTCACGGCGGACAGGGCGCCATGTGGCAACCAGCTATACTACCACATGGTGTCTTCCTGCAGCTCCAATGGGCTCCATGTCATCCCACACCTGTCAGAAATCTGAGGTTGACGCCTAAGAAGTACTGACAGAGGGGTAGAATAGGCGTGAGGGGGATCACTTGTACATTTGTAAATAAGCGAGACACTCAGTAGTGGGGAACTGTAACGGCAGAAGCAAAGCAGTGTAGAGAGTTGGGCGGGGTGGTAGCAAGAGCGGAAAAAGGAGGTGGCAACTCCACGGAGGCCGGTGGGCTGGATTGGCGGGAGGTGCGCTGGCAAGATCGGCAGCGAGATGACGTGTGCTTGGTGTGTGAGTGTGTGATGTGTGGAATGCATGTGTGGTGTGCTTCTTTCCTTTTGCAGACACCGAGTCCAGGAGGGAGCTGGAAGGCAGCGAGGCCAGCTGGAGGCAGGTTGTTATACCGGATGGATGGCTAGCTAGGCAGCCCAGTAAGAACAACCATTGCTAGGGAAGGCTACGCTAGCTAGAGGGTGTTGGGAAGCTTAAGGTTGGTTCCTGGGCCATGGGACTGCCACTGCATGTATGTTTTCGTGAATTACTACAATTTACTTCTTCACACGCAGTGACTAGCGAAGCCATAACAGTAGTCGGGATGAATTAGGGAGGATTTTAGCTTACATACATGCAGTCGTTTTATGGAATTACGATCGGGTAAACTGTTAGAGAGCCGGAGGTTAGATCGTGAAGATAATCAGCCGACGGCACACGAAGGAGACGCTAACCAGGCGGCGAAGCAGCCGCTGGAGACAAGGAGAACGGAAGGGTAGAATGAGCCCAGCGAGAGGGTGAGTGGCCCGCACGGCGGCACTCGCGGAGATGCAGCGGATGGCGGGAATAATGCGTCCGGAGGAACGGAAGAACGAGAAGGAAGGCAGCCGCTGGCACGCTCACAGCAAGGGGGACCAAGCGGGGTACCAGCAGACCGCCTCGTGGCAGGGAACTGAAGACGAGACGGTAGTGCAGCGCTGGAAGTACACTCAGCTACCTAAGATCGAGGTGCCGGAAAGGTTCTCGGGGGACGTAAAGCGCGGGCCGAGTCTGAAGAATTATATCATGCAGCTGGAGAATTTACAGGCACGATGGGCGAAAGACTGATTGGACCCGGAGGAGTTCTTCCCCGGCCTGGCTAATACGCTGGCGGGGGAGGCAGAAACATACTACCGAATCTCTCGAAAGGAGTTGCTGGAATGGTTAGCGGGAAGGGCTCTGGGTGAGCGAGATCCGACCACACGATTCCTGGCTATGCTGCGCAAACAGTTTCCCCTGCAAACGGCGGAACGAGTGGTGGAATTCCGAGGCTTCAGGAGAAGAGAAGGGGAATCGCTCTTAGCCTACTACGGGAGGATCGTGGAGCTAGGGGAAGATATGAACTGCACGGATCAGGGCAGACTGATTGGCAAATTCATAAATGGGCTAGGTCAGCCCCTGCAGCAAGACGTACAAGTGCGGGTGTTCGAGATGGGGCCGGAGGCTACGCTAAAGGAGGCATACGAGATCGTGAAGCGGGTGGAGACGGGGCGAAGGCTGTATGAAGTGGAGCGCACGGTGGAGAGGGGCCCGGAACGGAGACGGCCAGCGTGGGCGGTGACGTCAGCATACCCGGATGCAGAGGAGCGAGGACGAGATGAGCTGCAGCGCTGCCACAACTGCGGCTTGCCGGGGCACCTGCGACGAGATTGTCGGAATCCGGCGGCGTGTTCGCTATGCGGGAGTCGCGAGCACATGCAGAGGGAATGCCCCGGAGCACCGGTGTGCGCTCGCTGCGGAAGGAAAGGCCATCGTGAGGTGGACTGCTATTCAGGACGGAGGGACCGTCGTGGGCCAAATGGGGGAGAGGATCGACAGGCCACCATGGCACGCTTACAGACACAATTGGCGGAATTGGAGGCGGCGGAACAGAAGCAGCCCGCCATGGTTGCGCAGGAAGAGGACGAGCCGGAGGAGGCAGAATTCATGCTAATGGCGCAGCCAGCTCGCGATCGAGAGGAGTTAGGCTTGCGAAGAGCTTCCCGAAGACTCATATTTCCAGAAGACGTGCGGCGGGAAGACGGGCCAAGAAGACGGGCAAGCGATAGCTCGAGGATGTCCAAGGGGCGGCGTACCGGCACCCGCGGGAGCGAATGGCATGCCAGGCGACAGTTCTAACGATCGCGGCAGGTGCAATCACGATCGGAGGCTTCACGGCACAGCGGGCAATAGTGGATACGGGGGCCGTGCACGTGCTCATCGGCAAGCGTGTGACGGAGAAGCTGCAGCTATACAAGCCGGGGCGCCTCGTTGCTGAAGGCTGCATGCTGATGACGGCAGACGGAGGGGAGGCAAAATGGATGCCCAAGACCAGGCGGTCCATGGCGCTGATGTTAAACCCGGGAACAGCAGAGGAGTGTGTGCCGAGGGTGCACTGTGGAGTATCAGAGTCGGAAGATTTCAATTTGCTCATAGGGGTGGAGTACTTGTTTGGGATAGGGGCCACAATCTGCATGTGGGAGGAGAAGGTGCAGTATAGGATCTGCTATTGGGAAGATGACAGACCCATCGGCACGCTGCCGGTGCGCTTCGTGCGGCGGGAACCAAAGGAGGCCTACCAATGCTCCGAAGCGGAATCGCGGGAAGAGCTGGGCATACCTACCTGGCAGCAGATTTCTTGGAGGCCGACGACACAGCCGGAGTAGCTCGAAGGGGGGATGGACCTGAAGGCATTGTGCACCAATACGAAGAGACTCCTGGGGTCCACCGTCATGCTGGATCTCTTTGGAGGCCTCGAGACCGGGCTAGCAGCAGTGCTGAAGTCAGGAATATGTGTGGAAAAGTGGATCTTGGTGGAGAGTGATGTGCAGGTAGCGAAGATGGCGGTGGCTCACGCGGATAAACTACACAAGCGGTATCCGCACCAGTTCTGAGCGGCGACACTGAAAAGCAGCATGCAGTGTGGGGCCGTGGACATACGTGGGATAGATGAGCACCAGCTGCGGTAGTGGGGGGGAATAGACGTGGTAATCGTGTGATGGGAATGCCAGGGCTACTCACGGGCAGGAGCGGGCAGAGGTATGAGGGATGAGCGCAGCGGTCTGTTCCGAGAGTTGAAGCGGGTCCTGCAGCTGATAAAGCAGATTCAGGGAGATGTTCTCTACATCGTTGAAAACGTGGACATGGAAGGAGACATCCGCGAGCAAGTACAAGTGGCGCACGAGGAAGTGACAGCCGCATTGGGACCGGGCGTAGTGGAAAATGGGTCATAGACAGGGAGGAGGACACATAGGGTTCGCCGCTACTGGACGAACGGGGTGAGCGAAGCGACGCTGCAATACCGCCTCTCTCTGATGGAGAGGCCATTGCCCTTACTGACATTCTGGAACCAGGGAGGATGCCGGCGCCAGTGGAACGACCAGACCATCCGACGCAGTTCCCCTGCAACGAGGTGGGAAAACCAAGGCAGGCCTGGCCAACCTTCGTGGCACATGGAGACGCCCTGGCATTCAGACTGCACGATGGCCTGCTAGGGCCGGGCATGGTCTACGACTGCACCGCTCGGGAATGGCAGGATCCCACAGCGCTGGAGAGGAAACTGGCCATGGGGTTTATGGAGGACGCGACGGCACATCCGGAAGTGACCGAGGAGGAAAGGAGGAAAGTGATGGGGAGAGCCATGGATCTTAATGTGATGCACTGGTTGGTAGCGACCATCAGGATGTATCACTCACAGCTGTGCTGGGAGCGCAAGAGGGATAAGGCGGCGGCAGTGCACCCACCGACAGAGAGATCAGCGGCAAAGGATGCGCTAGCACGAGCCATACTGGGGGAGATTCAGGAGTACGATGAGCTGCAGCATGAACGGGGGCATCCGCTGGAGAGGCGGTGGGTCTACCCGTGGGAAGAGGAGGATGAGAGACCAGCGGTCTATGCAGAGCAAGCTGACATTTGGCTCCCAGGGGATCGAGCGGAGAAAGCGGTGGATAAGAAGCGTGAGGACTTCAGCGGGCTAGAAGAAGCGATCGAAAGGCAGAGGAGCAGGGAGAGCTACGAGCAGGAATTTGGGTATGGGGATTTCGCGCTCATGGCAGCAACCAAAGAGCAGGAACAGGCACAACAAAAAACACAGGAAGCAGGGGAGGAGGAGGGCGCAAAAGGGACGCCGCGCAAGACTGTGAAGCTGGAGGAAGTGGAGCAGCCAAAGCAGGAGCCGAAGGATCCCTCACGGAAGGAAGAGGAGAAGGAGTGGGAGATAGGGGAAGGCATGATGGTGGCAGATATAGAGGAGCTGAAGAAAGTGCTGGCCAAGCACCGGTGAAGGAGGTGGGAAGATGCAACATGGCGGAAGTTACCCTGGAGCTCACCACAGACATACTGGTGTACCAGCGGCACAGGCGCATGACACTGGAAGAAACACAGATCTGCAAAGAGAAATGCAAGGAGCTGCTAGAAGCTGGTTTCATTCGTAAGTCCAACTCTGAGTACGCCGCGACGACGGTGGTGGCGGCACGGACAGATCTCACGGGAAAGGTGCTCTCGAAACGGATGTGTGGGGATTACCGGGGGCTAAACAAGGTGACAGCAATGAAGAGGTATCAGACCCCGATGCCGGATGAGATCTTTGACCTACTAGCGGAAGCACTCGTGTTCTCGACGCTGGACCTGAGGCAGGGCTTCAACCAGATCCCGATCGCGGAAGCTGATAAGAAGAAGACGGCCTTCCACGGGCCGGATGGGCAGTACGAGTGGAACTTCCTTCCATTCGGCTTAAAGTCGGCATCACCCGAGTTCCAACGTGTCATGGATCAGGTTTTACGGGACGTGCAGAATGCGGCTTGCTACATTAATAACGACATCGTGTTTAGCAAGGACAGCCAGTCGCACGTGAAGGATGTGGAGGCAACCTTAAGTGCCATAGAGGGGGCAGGGCTCACCTGCCATCCAGGCAAGTGCAGGTTCGGGCAGACGACGGTGGAGTACTTAGGCTTTGAGGTGGAAGGGGGAAAAATCGGGATCCAGAAGGCGAAGGTTGAAGTACTGGACCGCGTGGCCACACCAGGACAGGGCTAGTTTGCGGGCGCTCCTGGGATTTTTGAACTGTTACCGTAAATTCATGCCCAACTTCAGCAGTTGGGTTACAGCTCTGAACCAGTTGCTCAGGGAAGACCGCCAGTGGGAATGGGGGCCAGACCAGGAAAGGGCAGTGCAGGACCTGATGGGAGTGGTGAAGCATGGAGCAGTGTTGGAGCTGCCAAGAGCGGACTTGCCGTTCACCTTATACACCGACTGGAGCAGCGCGGGCATGGGAGCGGTACTAGCGCAGATGAAAGGAGAGGTGGAGAAAGTAGTGGCCTTCGCAAGCCGCAGCTGCAATGTGGCTGAGGCCAACTACTCATCATATGACGGGGAGGGCTTGACGGTGGTCTGGGAGGTGAAGCACTTCCGGGTTAATTTGCAGGGGAGAAAATTCACGATGGTTACAGATCACCAGCCGATGTTGTGGCTGATGCAGACACCGGATCTCACGGGGCGGAACGCGCGCTGGGCGATGAAGCTACAAGAGTATGACTTTGAAATCAAGCACCGCCCGGGCAAGACGATGCAGCACGTCGATGGACTGTCAAGGAACCCGCCAGAGGTGCAAGCCTCGGCCTGCCTCATGGCTATGGCGAAAGAAGCGGATAGGGGACACGTGTGGGGAGAGAAGAAGGCGGGTACGGCAGACATATGGGAAGACCAGGAAGCACTGGCATGGATACAGGGGGCAACCACGGAGGAAGGGGCAGTACCGGCTAGGGTGCGAGCAAGAGGAGAACACTACCGTTGGTTCAAGGGACAGGTGCAGCTCAGGACAGGGGAGGGGTGGAAGCACGTCCCGCCCCCCAGGCGAGCAGGAAAAAATCATCAAAGAGGTGCACACGAAGTTGGAGCACTACGGACCCTGGGATGGTGGTGGGCGGGCATGCGGAAGCAGGTAAAGGACAGGGTGTGGAAGTGCGACGCTTGCTGCAGAAACAGAGCGGTGCTGGAAAGAGAGAAGGCAGAGCTACAGCCCCTGCCGATAGTGAGCTTGGGCTATCGTTGGTCCTTGGACATAGCTGGGGAGCTGCCGGTTACCACCAAGGCACGGAGGTACATCCTCCTGATGGTGGAACACGTCAGCAAGTGGGCAGAGGCCAAGCCGCTGGTGCACAAGACGGCCGAGGCGGTAGCAGAAGCCTTTGAGGAGATGGTAATCACGAGGCTGGGGGCATGCGGTGAGGTGCTGACAAATTAGGGCACGGAGTTTGAGGGGGCTTTTGATCAGTTGCTGAAAGCCAGCGGCATCAGGCACCGGTCCACGTCAAGGTACCACCCGCAGAGCGACGGACTGACAGAGAGATTGGTGCTGACAGTGAAGCGAGGACCGAGGGCTTATGGGGAGGAACACCAAAGGGACTGGGACAGGAAGCTTTGTTGGGTGATGGCGAGCTACCACTTCAGCAAGCAGGCGGCGCTGAAGGATGTGTCGCCCTACTATCTCCTGTTTGGCAAGGGACCGGTGATGCCACTGGGAGCACCCAAGCTGCTGCTGGTTGTGGTGACTATGGGCTCGATGGAAAAGTGGGTGGCGGTGGCAGATGCGCGGGTAGCTTACTTGAGGCACCTGCTACCAGCAGCACTAGAGAACTTACACGTCGCGCAGCTGAGGGACATAGAGAGATATAAGCAGAGACAGGAGGCCAACGGAAAAGGGGCTGGAATAGGAGTTCAGGAGGAGGAGGAAGTTTACCTCAGAAGGCAGCAAAAGCACGCCCTAGACGTGGGGCTGTCACAGCAGCGATGGACGGTGAAGGAGGTGCGGCCGTCGGGGGTGATCGTGCTGGAGGATGGGAAAGGAAAAAGGGTGGTGGACCACGTCACCAACGTGGCGAGGATACGCACAGAGAAGGGCAAGGGCGGGCCACAGGGTCCCATGACGCGCGCGAGGGCGGCTGCAATGCGCCATGGGAGGGGGCATGAAGTGTTCGCAAAGGAAGATAACAAAGGCAAAGGCAAGGAGAAGGTGGGGTAGAGGCTAGAAGAGGAAGGCACAGAGCGGCAAGGGAAAAGATAAGAGAGGTAATGAGAGGATAGGGAGGATCAGGGGAAGGACAAGGGAGGCAAACTTCTGGAGCTACAAGGTGGAGGGGGCGGGAGACGAGAAGCGGAGAGACCTGTGGTGGCACCGAGGGAGGCAGAGGGTGGCAATGGGGGAAGTTTCCGACAGCTGTCAGAACTCTGAGGTTGACGCCTAAGAAGTACTGACAGAGGGGTAGAATAGGCGTGCGGGGGAACACTTGTACATTTGTAAATAAGCGAGACACTCAGCAGCGGGGAACTGTAACGGCAGAAGCGAAGCAGTGTAGAGAGTTGGGCGGGGTGGTAACAGGAGCGGAAAAAGGGGGTGGCAACTCCACGGAGGCCGGTTGGATTGGCAGGAGGTTCGCTGGCAAGATCGGCAGCGAGATGATGTGTGCTTGGTGTATGAGTGTGTGATGTGTGGAATGCATGTATGGTGTACTTGTTTCCTTTTGCAGACACCGAGTCCAGGAGGGAGCTGGAAGGCAGCGAGGCCAGCTGGAGGCAGGTTGTCATACCAGATGGATGGCTAGCTAGGCAGCCCAGCAAGAACAACCATTGCTAGGGAAGGCTAGGCTAGCTAGAGGGTGTTGGGAAGCTTAAGGTTGGTTCCTAGGCCATGGGACTGCCACTGCATGTATGTTTTCGTGAATTACTGCAATTTACTTCTTCACACGCAGTGACTAGCGAAGCCATAACAGCAGTCGGGATGAATTAGGGAGGAACTTAGCTTCTTGAAGTGTCCGCGAAGGAAGATAACAAAGGCAAAGGCAAGGAGAAGGTGGGGTAGAGGCTAGAAGAGGAAGGCACAGAGCGGCAATGGAGAAGATAGGAGAGGTAATTAGAGGATAGGGAGGATCAGGGGAAGGACAGGGGAGGCAAACTTCTGGAGCTACAAGGTGGAGGTGGACTGTTGAGGCACTAGGGCATGGAAGGAGGGGGCGGGAGACGAGAAGCGGAGAGACCTGTGGTGGCACCGAGGGAGGCAGAGGGTGGTAATGGGGGAAGTTTCCGACACACCGCCAGAGGGCACAGCTCCGGTAGCTCCCGAACGTCCAGAGGCTTGGGAAAAGGAGGCTTGGGCTGCAGTGTCGGAAAAGATTTTGAGAGGAATGGGTTAGTTGGTTGCGCTTGCTTGGTATGGGCGACCCTAATGGCTTTGAACGAAGCAATTGGCGTTGCAGAACTGAAGCACTGGTCGTGCATGCTGGTGGGGGGATAGGGCAGAGTGGAAATGTAGCATGCGAGGGGGCGAAGGGGGGACCGGATATGGGACCGAAAAGGGTGGGCGGAAGGGGAAGCAGAAGGGGGAGGAGCGTACGAGTAGCAAAGGCGCGAGGGCGAGGCGGGGGTGGAGGGGGAAGCGGTGGTAGCCCATGGGAATAATCTCGAGGTGCCCGGCGTGTCCCGTCACCCCCAGCGATACCACCACCTCCGCCGCCCGCCCCGTTCCCCCCGCTCCTTCCCTGCCCCGACTCTTCCCCCCTGCACCTCCCCGGCACCGTCCGCCATCCGCGCCTTCTCCCCCCGACCTCCCCCCCCATGCTCCGCCGCTGCTGCAGTCGTCCCCTTGCTGCCACGCTGCTTTCCCCTCATTCCGTGTGCCAACCTCTCTTGCGCGCCGAGTTCGCGTGCGCCCTGACCTCCCATGCGTGGGGAGCTCACGTGCGGAGTATGCCTTACAATCTCTCCCGCTCGCTTGGTTACGCACAGCGTAGTCGAGTACGAGCGCGCGAGTTTACCTTACAATCAACCAGCTATGAGCTACGTGCTACAGTATAACATTCGGTGTATCAAAAACACGAGCGAATGTTTCCTGTGAGGAAATCGTGGAAAACTCTTTCGCGCTGTGAGGTGATGTGGTAGGAATCTGCCAGAGATGAGCCACATGTATCTGCCAAGGATGAGCAATGGGTTCTGTCAATAAATGACAAGACAAATTGTATTGAAAAACCTTGCTTCTTGACTAGCATAGCCATCTACTTTATTGCTTATGGGTGCCAATATCGGAGGGGGGGTGGGGGAAATTTGAACTTGAAAGTTTGAACTGAAAATGTGGGTGAGGCCAAATAGCTGAAACCCCATTTTCTACAGTCAGGGCGTGTCCAGCGCGTACACTTTGGGTTTTTCACTAAAATTTTACGTATTTTGGTGCACGCGCAAAAATGGTACCGCCAGGCGTAGCTTGAAAGTTTCGCGTCCAAAATACAGAGAGAA